AGAAATCTGGTTGGAATATGTTTGCCATTGTTCACTATTCATGTTTTTGTAAAGAAATATTCTCTTTCGAGTTTTTGACCACCATGTTGTATTATTTTATCATGAGTATAACAGAGAACTTCATAAAACCTTTCAGTTATTAATACAGGGTTATTTGTAGCCTTTATGATTATCTTGTAATTTCTAGGCATAATTTCTTCAAGTCTAAATTTTTTTTTAGCCCAACTCTGTGTATTTTTATTATAAAGCGAGGTGTTTTTGGGGTTTAATAAAATAGGGTTTATTTTATTTAAAAGTTTCAGATTGATTAAAGCCTTCCCTTGCTTTGCTTTTGGAAGATTAGTTATATACTTTTCCAAGATTTGATCAAAGGTGCTTCTACTAATAAATGTATACTCCATTTGGTAGATATTACAGGGGAAAAAAAAGGTGGCAGCTAATGAAAACAGTTAAGATCAAAGAAAAAATAAATGATAAGCAGGCCAACGTCCAATATATTAGTAGGCACCAAGAGCAAATCCAATATCCAATATATTAGTGAGCACCAAGAATGAATCCAACATCTAATGTATTATTAGCACCAAGAATAAACCCAACATCCAATATATTAGTGGGCACCAAGAATAAATCCAACGTCCAATATATTAGTGGGCAACAAGAATTCAACATCCAATATATTAGTGGACACTAAGAATAAATCCAATATCTAATATATTAATGGGCACCAAGAATAAATCCAACATCCAATGTATTAGTAGGCACCAAGAATAAATTCAACATCCAATATATTAGTGGACAACAAGAATCTAACATCCAATATAATAGTGGGCACCAAGAATTAATTCAACATCTAATATATTAGTGAGCACCAAAAATAAATCCAATGTACAATATATTAATGGGCACCAAGAATGAATCTAATATCCAATATATTAATAGGCACCAAGAATTAATCCAATATCTAATATATTATTAGTAGGCACAAAGAACAAACCTAACATCCAATATATTAGTAGGCACCAAGAATGAATCTAACGTCCAATATATTAATAGGCATCAAGAATGAATCTAATGTCCAATGTATTAGTGAGTACCAAGAATAAATCCAACGTTTAATGTATTATTAGTGGGCACAAAGAACAAACCTAATACCAATATATTAGTGGGCACCAAGAATGAATCCAACATCCAATATATTAATAGGCACCAAGAATGAATCCAATGTCTAATATATTAGTAGACACCAAGAATGAATTCAATATCCAATATATTATTAGTAAGCACAAAGAACAAACCTAACGTCCAATATATTAGTAGGCACCAAGAATGAATCCAACATCTGATGTATTAGTGGGCATCAAGAACAAACCCAACATCCAATATATTAGTGGACACCAAGAATGAATCTAACATCCAATATATTATTAGCATCAAGAACAAACCCAACATCCAATATATTAGTGGGCACCAAGAATGAATTCAATGTCCAATATATTAGTGAGCAACAAGAATCTAACATCTAATATATTAGTAGGTATCAAGAATTAATCCAATGTCCAATGTATTAGTGGGCACCAAAAATGAATCCAACGTCCAATGTATTATTAGTAGTACAAAGAACAAACCTAATGTCTAATATATTAGTAGACACCAAGAATGAATCTAACGTCCAATGTATTATTAATACCAAGAACAAACCCAACATTCAATATATTAGTGGGTACCAAGAATGAATCCAACGTCTAATATATTAGTAGGCAACAAGAATCCAACGTCCAATATATTAGTAGACACCAAGAATGAATGCAACGTCTAATATATTAGTGGACACCAAGAATGAATCTAACGTCTAATATATTAGTAGGCACTAAGAATTAAGGCAACGTGAAACCAAGAACCAACTAACTAACAAGAAATAAAAAAAAAGTATGCTAGTCGTTAAAGATAAAACAAACCAGATATCATACAAAAAAAAAAAATCAAGATAAAAGCAAAAAAGCTTTTTATGCTCTTATTTGTAATAACGTTATTATTACATCTTTTGTAATGACGTTATTATATTTTGGAAAATTTTTTTTTTACAAGATTTTGAATTTCAAGATCAGATTACAGCTGATACACATCAGGTGACTGATTGACAGGTGATACGCATTATCTGAAAATTGGCATCTGACGTGTGTTAAATTGTATCTGACACAAGGATGCATCTAAGGTACAACATATATGCAAGATATTTTTAAGTAATCTTGAGAAAATATAATTTAAATAATTTTTATAATACAGTCAAATCCCTCTATAGTCATCTTCTTTATAGTCACAAAATTGATACAATTACAAATTTATTTTTACTAATTATTTATAACTATATAAAAAATATTTCTATATTAGTCATACCTCTTTACAATCACAGTTTTTTGTATCCCAAAGATGTGACTATAGAGAGGTTTGACTGTATATAGTTCAAGTATTATTATACTTAAACTTATATTTAAAAATTTAATATATATTACACGGAGGACCAAGTTATTAGTCAGACTCAACGTACAGAGCAGATTTTGGATACCTGCGCAGCTGTGAGAACCGAGCTT